AGGAGGAGGAGGAGCAGCAGAGGGAGATGGAGGAGGAGAGGGGGAGGAGGAGGAGGCAAGGGAGGCCAGGCAGGTTACAAGGCCTCGTGAGTCGCGGGATCAGCGTGGGGCCCATCGGTCGTTCAAAGCGTCCACAGGGATGGTGCCCGGGGGGGGGCCCATACAGTGGGTCGAGCAGTGGCGAAGCGTCCTGCCTCGCCTATAGCCCTACCAAACAGTGTTCTAAGGACCTTTTGTGGTTCCACGAGATGTTCTTGGGACATTTCTGGCTGGGACCGTCTTGTTTTAACACATCGGGCTTATGTTTTAAGAACATTGTTTTTGTTATTAGAACAGTTTCGGGTTCTACGAACATTTCGTGGTATGACTATAGGAATGCCGGGACAGTCGGTCCCTGCTCAAACAGTGGAGGCCCATGCCAAGAAACACCCTGCTTGCCTCCAGGGTGCCCCGGGTCTCTTGGGGTTCGACGGTTTCGCCACGGAAGGTGTGACTTTCCCGCGCCAAACATCGACGGACGTCTTGGGGGTCTCGGGGTTGGGTTTCTTGTGGAAGGTCTCTTATGGTCGGACCCCTACTGTAAATATAAACTTTTCTTTTGGCGCTCCGCGTTGATCTCTTGGATCCGCGCTGGGCCCCCCCCCAGCGGCGCCCCCGGCGCGCTCCGCGCGCCAGGGATGGTGGTCCAGCGCGGATCCAGGAAATCCGCGCAGTGCCGACAGTTTTTGGTTTTGCCGTTTTTCTTTACAAGGAGACGGTGAATGCAAAGGGGGTCAGTCAGAGCGCCAGATTTGGCAGGGTCCTGCAGGGCCAGGGGTGCACTGACCCGGGCTCGGCTGCAGGAGGATCCTGCAGGGTCTCCTGCAGGATCTTGCGATCTTGCGAAGCTTGAATGGCCTGGGTCTTGATTGACCCGGGTCAGTAGATCCCGAAACGACGACGACGCCGACGACGACGACCCTTGGCCACGACCACGACCACGACCACGACCACGACCACGACGGCGAAGACGGCAACGGCGGCCGCCGCCGTCGTGTCCAGTCGGCCGAGCCTCGCCGGCGAGGCTGCCGCTTCCCGCCGCCGCCGCCGTCGGCCGCGCGCGCCCGTGCGGGGCCCCCTGGGAGCCTGTTTGTTTTAGACTCTGGCAAGTTTACTTGCATGGACGGGGGGGGGGCTGAGCCTGAAGCAAGCCGCAAACGACTTGCACGTTCGGGGGGCGCGGAAATCACGCAAGTCGAAAGGCACTTGCACGCTGGTATTTGCTTGAAGAGGGGCGAGGGGGGGGGGGGGGGGGCGAACGCCATGCAAGTAAACTTGCCAGAATCAAAAAAAAAACAGGCTCTGGGCTCTGGGATGTGCCCTGGCCTCCCGGCGGCGTGAACCTCGGGTACTAGTAAGTCGGGCCTGTCCCCCTACAGGGGGATTTTCGACGAAGAATGAAAAAGACCCCCAAAGTACCCCAAGAAGGTCAACAAATACTAAAACAATAGTCCCCGGACCATTTTGGGAATATGTGTTGGTTAGTTTTTTGGGTATTTTTTATTTCGTCGAACATCCCCCTGTAGGGGTTCAGGCCCGACTTAAGGGTACTATGGAAACCAAATGCCAGGGACTGAAGCAGTGGCGAAGCGTCATAGCTCGCCTATAGGCTTACCAAAATAATACACTAAGAACTTGTTGTGGCTTGCACGAACTGTTTTTAGAGCATTTCTGGCTGGGACTTTCTTGCTTGAACACATCGCGCTTATGTTCTAAGAACATTGTTATTGTTCTTAAACTGTTTTCTGGGTTCTGAGAACATGTCGTGGTAGGCCTATAGGAATGCCGGGACGGTCGGTCCCTGCTCGAAGGGAGACTTGTCCAAGGGGGGTTGTCTGGGGGGGCTGTCCGGGTCTCCGCTGGATGGTCGAAGGGGTTGTCTGGGCTAGGTCGCCCTGTCTCCATTAAGTTGCATGGGTTGTCTGGGTTGTCTGGGGGGGGGTTGTCCAGGGGCCTGCGTCGATTGGATCATTCTTCCATTGGACATAGTCTCCGAAGATAGGGTGTGGTCGGGGGCCAACGCAAGACTCGGGTACGCTGGAACTCGGGTTTGCCAGCGCTTTCTGAGGATCGCGTCCCGGATTTTGACGGTCCAGCTTCCGTGGGAATTCCGCAGCGGGAGCTCGCGTCAGGTTTCCGATGATGCCTCGTCATTTTCATGCTGGCCCGGTGGCCCCGTCAGGCCAACCCGATGAAACCTCGAGCGGGAGCGTTGTTTCTGCTGGGGGCGGCGCCGATGAGAGAAAGACTAGCGCGCCAGTCCAAGGTAATTACAACTGGAGGAAGTCTCGGGCGGGAGCGCTGGTTTTGTTAGGACGGCGGCTCTCGGCGGCGAGCAGCAACACCAGCCCTGTCCCCCGAACCCGAGTCTTATGTCTCCCCGAGATGGGGACGAACTTGCCTGGATGCTGCTTCTTCGGGGGGCCTTCTGAGTGAAAGGCCGTTTCCCAATCGCCCCACCAGTGCCCCCGCCCCGCCATACCACGCCCCCCCGAGAAAGAAAGGCACGGCGGCAGCTTCTGGTGTCGTCTCGAGGGTTCTCGGATGCCTCTCGACCTCGGGATGCTTGCCAGCAGCCGCACCTCGGCGAGAGCGCACATGGTATGTTTCGGGGGGCCAGTTGCGCATGTTCCTGGTTGCCTTCCGGCCTCGGGATGCTCTCCAGCAGCTGCGCCTCGGCGAGAGCGTACAGTTGTGGAGGACGATCAATGGAGAGGAAACATGCTGTCAAATACTTCCCAGATGTTTCAAACAAGTTTTAAGCAGGCTTTAAACATGTAAGCAACATGTTCAACACATGTTTAGGACATTTCCGGACATTTTAAACACATGTTTAAATTCAATGATAGGACCGTTAGGGTGTCCATTGTCGTGGCATCCACAAGCGTACAGGCGTTCTTGGAGGCCGCTGTCGCATGCTACTGGATGCCTTCCAGCCTCGGGATGCTTTCCAGCAGCCGCGCCTCGGCGAGAGCGTGCCTCTGGCCGCGCTTTTGTCTTCGTGTCTGCATCAGTCTCTCTTTCTCTCTCTCTCTCTCTCTCTACACACACACATATATATGTGTATGTATATAGATGTGTGTGTGTGTGTTTCCGTCTTCGCGCCAACTGTGAGTATCCCTCTGTGCGTTCGCAAATCCCGGTTGTCACTGCGGGTCTGTGGGTCGTCGCCCCGTCTGTCTATTTGTTGATGTTGTCGCCATCGCGTCCGCTTTTCCAGTGAATTGACTCTTTCTCTGTTTTGACTTGTCTTGTGTGTGCCTTTTTCCGTATGACAGTTGCTTCCGTGGTCGCCACGATTCCTCCTCATTGTGTGCTCGGTCTTGTCTCTGGTGGTGTCGACGTGGTCTGGCACAGTCTCGAGGGTCCAATTCATCCTAGAGGGTCCCCAGTGTGCTCTTGCACATTTCGGGTCAAATGTCTTGTCAGGGGTCTTTCGGCAGACCAGAGAACGCCTGGCAACATGTTCTTACCTGCCGAACGCGCAGTTTGTACCAGTCACGTACCTTGACTGTGTAGCTGCACCAGCTCTGCGGTGACCGTGATCACAAAAACTTCCCCGATGGAGTTGGCTGACCGTGATGTCTGCCGTGGACGCGCTGGTGGAAGTCGGGGGCGATGCAAATCTCGGCGGCAAGAGTGGGAACGGATCGAATTGGGAACCCGGAGCTGTTCCTCTTCATCCTGCTCGGGAGCCTTGAGACGGGGGTCAATGCAAACGGGGGTCAGCCACGTCGCCGGATCCTGCAGGATCCTGCAAAGGCCCCCTCTGGCTGACCCGGGTTAAGGACCCGTTCGTGGCCGCGAGGCGGCCGCGCCTATTGGCTGACCCGGGTCTGCGAGGACCTGCGTTGCAGTTTTTTTTCTTGCATTGCAGTTTTTGGTTTCCTGCTGACCCGGGTCTGGATTGACCCGGGTCAGAAGATCCCCGACCTGCACAGGACTCGCTCTTCGTGTCGCCGCGGACGGGACAGACTTTGCTGTCGCCGTCCTCAGCGGTCGCCGTCGCTTCGGGGCACCATCCGTCCCAGATTTTTCCGCACCGCCCTCAGAGCGTCGAGGAGGAGGAGGAGGAGGAGGAGGAGGAGGACGGGGGGGAGGAGGAGGAGGAGCAGGAGGAGGAGGAGGAGAACGCTCCGAGGCAGGCCGCGGCGCCCAGGACATCCTCCAGGGCTGCCGGATCTCAGAGGCTCTGCACCCTCGCACGATTTTGGCCTCGTCCTGGCTTCGTCTTTCTATTGCTAAGGCCTTGCGGCCGGTGCCGCCGACCCTGAAGACCACGACGACGAATACGGGGAGGAGGAGAGGGAGGAGGAGGAGGAGGAGGAGGAGGAGGAGGAGGAGGAGGAGAAGGAGGAGCAGGAGGAGGGGGGGGATGAAGGTGGAAGGGAGCAGGAGAAGGCGAAGGAGATGTTCCCCATGTGGGCCGAGGGAGTCGTAGCAGAGACAGACAAAGAGCCTTGTGGCCTGCGGCCCTTCTCGCCACTGTGCTGGGGTTGTGGTTGAAAGGCCTCTTGGATGTTTTCGGGCCTGCTGGGGCCTCTGTTGGGCCTCTTGGGGGTCTCTTGGGGGCCTCTTCGGGCCCCTTGAGGGGCTCGTGGGGCCTTCTGGGGGTTTTCTTGGGGCGGGAAGCTCCAAATGTCGGTTCGTGGTCCTCTTCTTGGGCCTGCTTGGGGCCCTCTTAGGGCATCTTTGGGCTGTTTTGAGATTTTCTTGGGCCGTCTTGGGGCCCTCTTGGGCTGTCTCGGGGCCTTCTTGGGGGCCTTTTGGGCACTCTTGGACCTTCTTGGGGGCCTCTCAGGGCACTCTTGTCGCGTCTTGGAGCTTCTTGGCCTCCGGGACCCCCTCCCCGGGACCCCCCCCCTCGGCGGGGAAGGGATCAAAGGGAAGGTGCCCCCCTTCGACTTAAGTACGACGTTGCTACGGTTTTCTCTCGTTGGCAGGCTTGAATCGGGCGCAGGGAAAGTGGACGACGGAGACGCAGGGGAAGAGGACAACGGATGCGTCGACTGAGCGCACGCCGACATGGGGTCCACACGCCGACAGGGTCGGCGGATTTATACAAATCATCGCAAGAGACAAGGGGTTGGCATTTGTGGGACGACACCTTTGGCTCAAGCCGTTCTGGCCCAAGGCTTCACTTGCGCGCTGGCTTCAGCTCCCCTCCCGGTGTCGGCTTCCCGCCCAGGTGGTCCGAAGATGCTGGTGGTTGCCGCAGCATTTCTTGCCGCGGCCTCTCTGGGGCTCGCTCGGGGGACCGGGCTCGTGTCCGCGTCGAGGATCTGCGTCGAGAACCGCGGGACGTTTGAGCTGCTCTTCGAGATGACAGACTCTGCGTATGCTGACCGACCGATCGGATCTGGGACACGATCGGCCTGGTACGCGGGGGGGGAGCAGTCGTGCCTGGACATGTCGACGATCCCCGACATCGAGGAGGGGCACTTGGTGGTCACGTTCGTGTACGTCCAGCGGGGCACCTCCCCTTCGGCGGAGCTGCCGCCTGTGATCTACAGCCTGGCGTCTGGCGGCGAAGGAGCGGCCGCCAGTTTCATTTGCTCCGGCAATGCTGATTATGACGTGGACTGCAAGCTCTCAGGAGGTGCCCGCCGGCTCCAGAACTTGATTTGATGAGAGTCGTGTTTTGAAGTTCCTGCTCGTCGCACAGTTGTCGCCACAGCGGCGCAGGAGCATGACGTGGGTAGCACGTTCGCTCCATCGAGCTCCCCAGGGGTGCTTCAGGCAGAGCGTCTCCCCGAGATCTGCGGGCTCTGAACGTCAGCCCAAGGCGGGCCGCGCGAGCAGAAGCTGCAGTCAGACTGCTTGCGTATGAGACTCCACTCCTGCCTGGCACGAATTTGTGTTGGCTGCTTCTTGTGTGGGCCGTGCGCGCAGAAGGCTGCAATCAGACCGCCTCGGACATTGCGCTGCTGCCTCGCACGACTTTTTTTGTTGTTGGATGCCTGTTGGCAGTAACTTACAGCTGCACGGCCTTTGCATTACTCGTTCTGCTGGCGGGGCACGGCTTTGGCGTCGCAGGAGCAAGGGAAAATAGCAAGCGAATCGGGAGGTTATAGACAAGGCGGGAGGCAGACACGGTGGACGGAGGGACGGAGGGAGGCAGGAGGTTCCCCTCCTGCCTGCCCTCTGCCTCGCCGTTGCGTCGGCGATGTGGCTTCGGGCCAAAAGGTAGCCCTTCCTCACGACAAGAGAGACTGATTTGCGACAAGCTGAGACGAATTCACGACACTGCTCTGAGGAACCCCAAGTCGGCGCACACTTGATCCACTACTTGGTCAGTTTACCCCATGGAGCCACGAGCCGGCACATACCATGCGGCTGCTGTTCCCAAGGAGTCACCACTGCGCCCTCAGCTGGTCTCCAAGAGGGCTCCCCTCGAAGCCCACGCCAGGCCTTCGGCTGCCCCAAGTGGGCACCCGCCACGGGGCGCCAGGACCCCCCCCCCTCCCAAGGAGGAGGAGGAGGAGGAGGAGGAGGAGGAGGAGGAGGAGGAGGAGGAGGAGGGAGGAGGAGGAGGAGGGAGGAGGAGAGGGAGGAGGGGAGGAGGAGGAGGAGGGAGGAGGAGGAGAGGAGGAGGAGGAGGAGGAAGGAGGGGAGGAGGAGGGGGAGGGATGAGGAGGAGGAGGAGGAGGAGGAGGAGGAGGAGGAGGAGGAGCAGGCGGGGAGGAGGAGCAGGCGGGGAGGAGGAGGAGGAGGAGGAGGAGGAGGAGGAGGAGGAGGAGGAGGAGGAGGGGAGGAGGAGCTGGCCCCGAGACCCACGCGCAGCTCGAGAGGGCCCCGAGAGGGCCCGCCCCCGCGGTCCGGGAGGCGCCCAGGAGGGGCACGCGGAGGACGTCGGAGCGCCCAGCGGGCCGTCAGCGCGCCCAGAGGGCTGGAGCGCCCGAGGCTCGCGCCAGAGCGCCGGCATCTCTGCTTCGTTTCCCCTCCGCAGAGCGTCGGCCGAGCAAGTGCCATTCCTCGGGAAGTGGGACATGTACCTGACCAGCGGTGGGTCGTTCTTCAATCTCAAGACTTTTTTTCCCGAGGGTCGGGGACGACGTCGGTGTGGTGTGGTGTATACTTGTTTTCCCCGCTGTTCCAGGGAAACAGCGGAGCATGTGTACACCAGGATCCCGTATACACCAGGATCCGTTTTCCTGTGCGAGTTTCCATGCGGGGCAGGAAACAGCGTCGGTGTATATAGAGTTCGGCTTCTTACTTCCGGCATGTGTCTATATATACATACGCATCTATACATACGTGTCTATATATACATACGTATCGAATGTGTACATACGTGTCTATATTTATATATATATATACATATGTGTGCATATACATATATATATATATTGTAAAGTGTCTTGTTTCAGTCCTTGCGCATTTTCGCGATTCTGGCCGTCGTGGTCCGTTGATGGGTCCCTGGGACCGCCATGCTCCTAAACCTGGGACGAGGAGCTGCCCCCGGGCGGGCGGCCGTGACCTCTCTGGCCCGCGCGCAGAAGAGATCGCGTCGGTGACATGGGCGGCCGGCTGCAGTCAACCCGCACAGTAGGGACGGGCAGCATTCCCAAGGCTCCGTGCCTTCTCGGTTCGGGCTGGACGAAAGGCTGCATGCAGCTGGTTCCGGCCTCACCGAGGGGCCCATTCCTCGATACATAGCCGCCTCCGGCGCCGGGAGGCGCCGGGAAAATCAGCTATGTGAGCTGATTCTCAAACCCCCCCTTTGCTATCCCCCCCTTTTGCCCGATCCGATCGGTCCATCCTTGGCTTCTCTCGTTGGCTGCGCCCCGCTCGGAAAGCTTCGGAACGGGCGCCCAAGGCCCTTGCATCCCTATCGCGCATCCTTCCTGTACGGGTTGACTGTAATTGTGGCAGTTGGCGGCTGCTTGCGGCAGGCGGGCAGCTGGAGGTTGCAAAAAACGCGGTTATTGTCATGCATCTCGTCCCTGCTGCTGCTGCTGCTGCTGCTGCTGCTGCTGCTGCTGCTCACACCGCCCACTGCATAGTTGTCTAACTCCCCGTGCTTTTGCGACCCCTGCTGCCCCCATCGCTCATGGTGTTGAGGACGGCGTTAATCTGACGATGGTGCCAGCTTGCAGCCAAGACGACAACGATGATGACGATGCTGATCTTGAGGATGATGCTAAGCATTGCGATTTTGAGCGTGACGATGATGGCAGCACTGCGAACGACGATGATGACAGTGATGACGGGGAGTCTGATGGTACTGATGATGCTGACGATGGTGGTGGTGGCGCAGTGGTGACAGCCGCAGCGGTGCGAGTAGATTTGGTAGTCGACGCGGACGAAAGTTACTCCGCTGTAGTCGGACAGAGTTGCATTCGAAGTCAAGACACGCGCTCCGCACGTCCAAAGCACGGCGAATCGACCCAGACAGACGATGATGACGGTAATGCACGAGACAAGGGGTTGGCATTTGTGGGACGACACCTTTGGCTCAAGCCGTTCTGGCCCAAGGCTTCACTTGCGCGCTGGCTTCAGCTCCCCTCCCGGTGTCGGCTTCCCGCCCAGGTGGTCCGAAGATGCTGGTGGTTGCCGCAGCATTTCTTGCCGCGGCCTCTCTGGGGCTCGCTCGGGGGACCGGGCTCGTGTCCGCGTCGAGGATCTGCGTCGAGAACCACGGGACGTTTGAGCTGCTCTTCGAGATGACAGACTCTGCGTATGCTGACCGACCGATCGGATCTGGGACACGATCGGCCTGGTACGCGGGGGGGGAGCAGTCGTGCCTGGACATGTCGACGATCCCCGACATCGAGGAGGGGCACTTGGTGGTCACGTTCGTGTACGTCCAGCGGGGCACCTCCCCTTCGGCGGAGCTGCCGCCTGTGATCTACAGCCTGGCGTCTGGCGGCGAAGGAGCGGCCGCCAGTTTCATTTGCTCCGGCAATGCTGATTATGACGTGGACTGCAAGCTCTCAGGAGGTGCCCGCCGGCTCCAGAACTTGATTTGATGAGAGTCGTGTTTTGAAGTTCCTGCTCGTCGCACAGTTGTCGCCACAGCGGCGCAGGAGCATGACGTGGGTAGCACGTTCGCTCCATCGAGCTCCCCAGGGGTGCTTCAGGCAGAGCGTCTCCCCGAGATCTGCGGGCTCTGAACGTCAGCCCAAGGCGGGCCGCGCGAGCAGAAGCTGCAGTCAGACTGCTTGCGTATGAGACTCCACTCCTGCCTGGCACGAATTTGTGTTGGCTGCTTCTTGTGTGGGCCGTGCGCGCAGAAGGCTGCAATCAGACCGCCTCGGACATTGCGCTGCTGCCTGGCACGACTTTTTTTGTTGTTGGATGCCTGTTGGCAGTAACTTACAGCTGCACGGCCTTTGCATTACTCGTTCTGCTGGCGGGGCACGGCTTTGGCGTCGCAGGAGCAAGGGAAAATAGCAAGCGAATCGGGAGGTTATAGACAAGGCGGGAGGCAGACACGGTGGACGGACGGACGGAGGGAGGCAGGAGGTTCCCCTCCTGCCTGCCCTCTGCCTCGCCGTTGCGTCGGCGATGTGGCTTCGGGCCAAAGGTAGCCCTTCCTCACGACAAGAGAGACTGATTCGCGACAAGCTGAGACGAATTCACGACACTGCTCTGAGGAACCCCAAGTCGGCGCACCCTTGATCCACTAGTTGGTCAGTTTACCCCATGGAGCCACGAGCCGGCACATACCATGCGGCTGCTGTTCCCAAGGAGTCACCACTGCGCCCTCAGCTGGTCTCCAAGAGGGCTCCCCTCGAAGCCCGCGCCAGGCCTTCTGCTGTCCCTCAAGACAGTGCAGGCGAGCCCCAAGTGGGCACCCGCCACGGAGCGCCAGGACGCCCCCCCCCCCCACACACACACCCCAAATGAGGGTGGGGGGGGGTCGGAAACTCTTGGACACTCTTGGACCTTCTTGAGGGCCTCTTGGGCGCTCTTGGACCTTCTTGGGGGCCTCTGAGGGCACTCTTGTCGCGTCTTGGCGCCTTTTTGGGCTCTGGGACGCCCAGGGGCGGATGAGTAATGCGTCGACTGAGCGCACGCTGACAGGGGGTCCACACGCCGACATGGTCGGCGGATTTGCTGCTCGAGTAAGGGATCGACTGCAGAATTGATTAGTACCCCAAAACCGGGTTTCCGTCGAATCTGCGGAACAGACGTCATAGGCTCCGTAGATCTACAAAGCATCTTATGTTTTCGTCGTGGAGCCGAAGGGGAAATCAAATTCGGGGTGAATCAATTCTGCAGTCGATCCCCTACAGTGAGGGCTCGCATCAAGAAACCATGTGCTTTTCGTCAGGGTATCCTAGGTTTCTTCGCTCCGCCCGCTGCGCGGTGACTTCCCGCAGCCGTTGAAGAAGCTGCTGCGTTCAGGGCGCTCCCGGTTTCCCTTCAGGCGCACCTCGCGCGCGGGTTTTCAGGGTTTGGTTTCTTGCGAGGGTTTCTTGCGGCCGTGGCCTCACTGTACTCCAGATGTTTGGGTAAGTCGGGCCTGTCCCTCTACATGGGGGAATATCCAAAAATAGTAAAATAATAGTCTGCGGACGATTTTAGCCGAGGCATTGTTTGACCATGTTGTTTTTCTTTTTTTTAAAAAAAAAACTGTTCGTCCAACAATCCTTCTGTAGGAGGACAGGCCCGACTTAAATGTTTGGGCATCGTCCCCACCGTCCCCGTCCCTGTGTTGGGGGCCTCCGCCTCCTCGGCTGGGGCACGCGACAGGGTGGGCCCCCCAGGGGCTCCCCGTCCCCCTCTCCGTATACGCAGGCGTGCCCGGAGACGGCGGCGGCGGGGGCGTCCCGCGCCGTCGTTCGGAGGCGCAGAGGCCGTCTTTGTTTGGGGTCCGGCTATAACCAGGCGGCGCGCCCGGGGGGAAGTGAGAAGGGGTGGGCCTACTCAGAAGGCTCGGAAGTCCCCCGGCCTTCTGAGAAGTGTTGTAGGCCTTCCCCGAAGACAGAAAACTCTTCTCAGAAGGCGCGGGGGCTTCTGAGAAGTCCCGCCGCATTCTGAGAAGGCCTTCTCCTCACTTCCCCCCCTCGCTCGCCGCCGAATAACCCAGATTCGGTCGGTTTGTGCACTATCCACAACTCTTCGCCGGATTCGGTCG